GGTGGAGGAGGAGGACTCTTCGTGATCATAGGGGGGGGAGGACTAAAAACTTTGGGTGGTGGAGGAGGAGGACTCTTCGTGATCTTGGGAGGAGGAGGGGGAGGACTCTTAATGATCTTGGGAGGAGGAGGGGGAGGACTCTTCGTGATTTTAGGAGGAGGAGGATTAAATGCTCGACAGTTTTTTCTAATTTCACCTGATTTCCCCACAAGAACTTGAGTGTTACCTAACTTGATCAATGCATTCGCAAAAGCCTGTTGGAAGGCTTTTGGATTAGAAGCGAAATTCGCCACAATTCCACTAGTAGATCTATCTGATGCAAGTAACTGATCAATCTTCAATATCCCTTTCTTCAACCTCAATTGTTTGTAAAAAGAGTTATCAACAGTAAACGAAGTGTTCTGATCCAAAAACACTGGCGACCCACCATTAGAACTACACGTCTTTCTAAGACTACTAAACAATTTGCTATCCATACTTCCATCCGCCCTCGACAGCCTATCACCTTGAATGAAATTACAATGTGTAATTCCCACTGTGTGTCCACCTAAAAGCGTCACCATTTCATTCACATTAAATCCTTTGCTTTTAAAAGATTGAATTGCTTGTGGCACCGTTATACTAGGCCCTGGCAGGTTCACTTGGGATGGGTCTGACACGAGCCCATCGCGCCTGCCAGTGGGTATACTGTAACTCGGTCCTCCAGATAATGCAACTGCATCTCGAGTAGCTAAAGCAATGATGTCTGAACAGGACACTGTATTAGAACATTTAGCTTCTAATTTACTCTTTATTTGATCAATCAACTCGTATCCTCTTACTGATCCATTTGCTCCTGCATTTTTTTCCGACTTTTTGTTCTTCGTGTTTTTTGAATCTATCAGTATCGACGCATCACAACCCTGAAAAAAAAATGTATCAAAACATCACTATTCAAATTTTAAAGATTTATCAAATAATACCAACAAAAATATAACAGTAAATTTTCCTCACCCTGACGAAGCAGTCATGGAAATACATCCGTAGCAATGCTGCTGTGATGGAACGATCCGATGAAAATCGAGTTCTCACCGTATCGCGAACTATGGTTTCTGCTGATGGACATCTAGTTTTAGTATTGTAGAAACCAACTTGAAGTTGAGCTGATACAGTTGATGCTAAGTGCAGAGTAATACAGAGGAAAAACAAAAATAATATATTTTTGTCCATCTTCACAAAAAGAGTAGTATAGCATATACTACTTTTAATTCGATTTAAGGTTTGATAATGAGCAATGGAGCAACAACATTCTCAAGGTATATATAGTATTCACTTTTCATATTATTCCGTCTCAAAAAGAATTACATATAATAATATAACTTTAAAATATCTATTTTATTCTTAATGAAACGATTTATAGTCACACAAATATCTATCACTTATTTTAAATCAAATATTTCAAAAGTCTTTTCTTTTTTTTTCTTAAGTTCGGTGTAAAATCAAACTAATTCATATAAAATGAAACGGAGAGGGTAAAGGGGAATGATGTGGTAGGCCACTAAGAGGTAAGAGATTTGGAAGTCAAAGCTTAACTGGGATGCATGTCTTGTTATAAAATATGATTAATACTAATTCTGACCTAGGAAAAAGTATTAATGTGTACACTTCTTAGTAGCTAATATTAAGAAAAATAAAATACGTGTGAGTTCAATTTGAAAAATACTAGTTGAACCTATATTTATTTAATATATATGATGAGGGAATAACATTCATATGTTCACAAGTCAAAACAATAAGATGCAATGTTTTATATGTATATATATTAAAAGGAATATACGATTTCATATCTAATGGTTTCAGAAAAAAAAAATTATTTACTAATTAACGCACACATAAAATTGAGAAAATCTATAAAAATATTTTACTTTTTTTTTCTAATTAAAAACATATTGGAAGAATTATTTAAGTTGAAACTTGAGATTATTTTCTTTTCTTTAAAAATCACTTATAAGTTAAAACTTTTAAAATTTGATTATGCATGAATTTGCATAAATATTTTAAATCACGATAATTGATGATTTAAAATATTTAAAATGTAAACTCCTTTCTTTTCTTTTTCCTTTTACCATAATTAATCTATGGGATCCAATGCTACCATATATACTCCAAACACATTAGTAAATTTCATTTATATATATTGCTATAATATAAGTATATTAATAACAGATAATTAAAAATTTATATAGATATTTGGTTTCCTATTGTATTATTAGTTTTACAAAAATAAAATCATAAACGCCCACCGTGGGGCTCGAACCCACGACCACAAGGTTAAGAGCCTTGCGCTCTACCAACTGAGCTAGACGGGCCAGATATTTTTCTAAATGGACAGACCACATTTGTTTTTTTAAACTAACAATAGGATTAAATATTTTATTTTGAATATTAGTTAAATTTCTATTCACCGTCCTTAAATATTTGTAAGCTTTTAATATAGTTCTCTAGCAAAAAGGTTGTTTGGTACAAACATGTTGCAAATCATTATTTTTCTTAAGTTGATAATCCATTGAAAATTAACTTTTTCACCCAAAAAAGATAGGAATAAAGTCTACTTTGCTTTGAAGAGTCAAATAGTGACATATATAAAGGTATGGTTAAAATATGTGTACATTAACATTGGGTAGAAACCAGAAAATTCGTTGTCTGAAGATAGAAAACAACGATAACTTCGTCTCAATCTCAAACTAGTAAAACACACAAGCAAGTAGAAAACAAATGCTAGGCTTAACCACCGATAATAACTTGTTATACGTGCATACACACACCCAAAAAAAACAGAAATGAATCATGAAGGCCAACATAGAAGTCGATCCAACAGGTACTTTAGCGGAGTTTTACTTCTTCAAGACACTGCAATTGATGAGAGTCACCAGTTAGCTAGGATCTTTACACTAGTATAAACTACGAAAACAATCGATGGGACTGACGGTCTTGATTGTTGACATTATATGATGAAAAAAGGACAAGACAGAATCTGGAAACTCACTTGTACAAATATGCTGCAATTCCAAGAATGATGCACAACAAGATGATGTCGATGCAAAAGTTGCGACTAGATCTCAGCTGGAAAACAACCAAAGCTCATGAGTAATCCTTGTGTGCAGTTCACTTACTGCAACTGAAGAGAGAGGTAATTCAGTTTACCTGGTTAACTGTATGCTTAAGCCTAACGTTGGTATTCTTCAAGTCCGCGGTAGCCCTGTCCACCTATTGAGAAGTCAAACCATGTCAATTTTAGCTATGATTCTATCCATATCAACTATTACAAAAACCAATAAAGTTACCAACCTTGGCGTCAATCTCATCCATCAGAGGAACTTGTCTATCCAACTCCTACATGCATTGCATCGTATCTTTAGTGCCTATGTCAATTGGGATGATACAAAATAGAAATCATAAAATGCAGCAAACCTCGTTCATATCGCTGGCCATGTTCTTCAAAGTATCCAATCCTTCTGCTATGACATCCAAACCTTGGTCCTGTGCAACATGCAAAACTAAATCTTAAACATAGTTCAGGAAGCAGCAAAGAAGTGTAAATGGAAGCCTCAATAAGAAGAGGGGGGGGGGGGATCTAATTCAAAGAATTTCATGATAAACTACCCAAAAGAATACATGCCTGTCTCATTTTTCGCATTTCATACTCTTGCCTGAATTGACTTGACTCTTCAGTTTGTTGGAAATATTCATTGTCAAATTGTCCATCTGTAAACAAAGTACACTCTGTAAGTGAATAACAATCAACTGTAGCCTACAAGAATGAATACTTTCAAGTCATAAATTGTGTTGTTAATGGCACATTTTAGTCGCACTTAAACCCTGAAGCTAGGTGAAGCTCAGGTTAGGTGGCTCGCCTAGGTTAGCAAGCGCTTGAGCACAGTTATGAGCCTTATCAATCGTAATAGGCTCTATCTTGAAGAGGGTGGCACTGAACAATAAATATAACTGAAAAAGATACACTAATTGTTAAAGAAATATTATGAGTGAATCTTACATTTTTAGTTACGAGAATATTTGTGATGGATTTGTAGTTAATTCAATTTTTTTTTTGGTTGTAGTGAACTAGTCAGTTAAGCTGCATAAGAAACTTAAAACTGCATCTCTGCATCTAAACAAAACATTAAGTTGGATTTTGAACTCAATCTACATGTTTTGACCACATACATTTTTAGTTTCTTCAATTAATTTTGGTGCACTCGTAATTGTATGTTTTTTGCATTACATATATACTTCTATTTTTTCTTCATTGCGTCTTTTCTTTCAGAAGCTCGTGCTTTAATTGTGGTCACTAAGAGCCCCAGCAGACCTTGGGCACATTTTGCCGTTGACGACACTAAATACACATGCAGAGAACAACTTACAGGAAGACCAGTCAAATGGCAGAAATTATCAATCACCTGAATCAAATTTAATTTCCGTGCGAGAACCTGAAGCTCTCCATCCTCCAGATTGTTTGGGTGGAGCTGCAGAGCCATCTGGTATGGCATTTATTCTATCTGGCAGTGCAAGAACCAAATCATTGCGGGCAGCAAGTTCTTCACCCGAAAGACCTTTGACCTGATATTGAGGGTTTTTTAGTACCAAGGCAACTATTTAGTCCCACAGATTACCGTATAAAACCCAGATTCACTCTTTTGGTAGGGAGAGCACAAAAAGGGTAGCGAACAGCCGAATAATGCAAGAGATATTAGCTAGCAAGTATGAAGTAACTGAAAAGAAGATGAACAGAGTTCGAAGTATCAAATACCAAAGAGTTCTAAGCTATACATTAGAACTAAGGCAGACACCCACTTGTAATGATACAATACAAAGACAGACTCATTTAGACAAATGCTCTAGCATTACTAAGCAGAGGTTGAATAACACAAGTTCACCCCTTGGTCCTTATTTACTCTACAAGGGAAATATGCTGCAATGACTAGGTTAAGAAACTTGTATGAGGCTAGACACTAGAGCATCAAGATCCACAACCTCATTTGGTAATATCTACCCCAACCATCTCTAGATGAGTCTCAATTTTTTCTCATCAAATACTCGAATACAATCAAAAGCTTCTTGGTTTGTTTGGGGATGGGGTGCATTCTCACTTCTATCTAACATCTATCTAATTATTTTTGGATATACACATGGAGGCTCTCAAACTATTAATCCCTCAATCTGATGGAATACCATTGATTTCAAAACCTCTGAATCCAGTGGTTTGGCACTTCATCATACACACACACACACTGAAGTCACTCCGTTCAATATCTTCCGAATTATCTCCAGTTAACTTTTATGTAGATGGCCATGAAATCAGAAAACAATTGATGATAAGTAAAAATACAAAATCCCCTGAAAACTATATAATGTATGTGCAAATCTTTATGTTGCTTCAATTTAACCAAGGAAAACCAAAAAAGAGAAAGAAAAGAAAATTATTGAAATGCCATATTTGTTTTCTTTCGTAATAGGATTGAGCAATATTAGAGTTCTCTCGGTCTCTTTTAGCCTTTAGGCAACTGCGTTTGTGCTCTACTTGGAATTTCAAGCAAATGCCAAGTCAACAGTCCAATGCAACATCACCTCCATCTCTCTCTCCCACCTACTCTTTTTATCTCTCGCTCATAGATATAGTTCTCTTCCTTAAGACTGAAGTGAGGAAACAGCATGACCATTTGCATTTTTGGTTTATATACTCTTGTATCCTAACCTATCCCCGGATCGAAAATAAAAATCCCACTAACCAGAAGAACAATCAGAAATAAACATAGCAAACTCAAAATGAGGAACCAAGCGATAGTGTAAGATAATAGAATAATTGAAAACTAACTGAATGAACCACCTTATTTTCTAGGCTTAACAAAGTATTTTAACAAAATCTGAAATAAGGAAGCCCGAAGCAGTACATGAACGCGATTGCCATCAACAAGTGACATGGTTTCAGGAATTTGAATTGTTAGACTCACGTAAGATTTGGTGAGCCTTCTATTTTTCTTACCTATTGCACAGCCAAATTTTGATTTAGCATCGTTTAACATGGTATAAGTAACACTTTAAGCATATCACTCCAAGAGTATAGCAAAAAATGCAACTTTGGAAGCTAGTCATGTACTCACTCACAAAACAACACTAAGCTTTAGCGGCATCAGGCTGATAGAACGGAAAATTGCAGATTCCTTGAGTTCAAGCGGATTTTCCATTTCAAATAACTACGGCCTACGTGGATCCAAATTATTGGACATTTTGTGGCTGACTAGAATAGGACATTTGGGCCTTTGTTACATAAAATAGAATCGTAATGCTTTGCATCAAAACCTGGAACTCATATTTTTAATCAAACTCCCTATTGCTATTCATATTTCTTTTTGATAAGGACTATCTATCATATTCTTGAACCATTAAAAGGGAAGAAATGAATATCAAAGACAATGTGCTAATAGTTACACAACTTCCGGCGTAATAGGTAACACCCTCCGCCCAATGCCCCTTTTGTTACATTACGCAGGCTGATCAACACACATCCCCTCCGCAAGGCAAATGACCCAACAATACACTATATACTGTCAGTAAAAAACTTGTTGGGATCAACCATATAAATCCTATATATCCATTATCTTAATAATTCATTACAGATCTTTCCTTAATCTCACTTTTCAGCCCATCCCTCCCAGATCTTTCTTTAATCTTACTTTCCATCAAAATCCAGAGCCAAATCAACCAAATTTAACATAAACCTTCACAGAACATCAACAAAATCCAAGTACTATATAACCCATAAGCAAAATTCAACACAATTACACAACCAAATCAGCTAAAACCAAAAAATTTAAAACAAAAAACACACCTTTCTCACAGCCAATCTCTGCAATTTCGGAACCTCTTCAAGTAACCTCGCTTTAGTCCTCCGAATCTCAGCATTGATCGCCACAATAGATGCCCTATTTTTCTCAATAGAAGCTGTCTCCGCTTTCTGTAACCGCAAAGAAAGATCTTTAAATCCTCAATTATCCACGAAACTAAACCCTTAAACACAAACCCACAAAAGAAAAAGTAAAAAAGATCATTTTTTTAAACCTGAAGAGCAGTTTCTATGTCGGATTCAACAGAAGAATAGAGACGTGCGAAGGCATCGTCGCCGGCAACGTTGGAATCCTTCTGCTTGTCGATGTCGTACTTGTCGTATTTCTTACAGATCGAGTCTACCCTTGTGAGAATATCAATTACACTCATTCTTCTTCTTCTTCTTCAACCTCTGTGAAGATTGCAGTTTTCTCCGATCAAGAAATAGTACGGAAGAGGAATTTTACTTTGCAGATGGAAAAAACAACACTTCATAATACAGACTGGAGATTTTGAAAAAAAAAATTATTACAGGTTTTTTTTGGGTTTTTTAATTATTATTTAAAGGAACAAATAGTATTCAAATTAATTTCTATAGTGTTAATATTTTTAAAATGTAGAATTTAAATAAAATACAACTATTTTTAGTACTTTATTAATAAAAACAAAAACAAATGTATTTTTGTATACGATGGTTGGTGGTTGTGATTGCTAATAATAATGAAAGTTATCGTGGCAATTTACGAAGAATTGAAGGTGATGATGATTAATAATTTATCGGGATGTATATAGATAGTAGTTAGTGGTGATAATGGTTAATGATGGTTATTAGCAATGACAATCACTCTTGTACATATAACTAGTAATTACACATGAAATATAATTCGCTCTTATGTGCATAACTCATAAATTATAAATAAAATGTAAATTCATATTAAACAAGTTTAGTGTAATAAACTCGACAAGAAGACATTGACATGAAAAATTGATGTCTAGCCTTCCTTATAAAATATTGCCTACTACACTAATTCAATTTTGTGATAATTTTTAAAGACAATATTCTTCGAATTGTCAAAAATGATATAATTTATATACTCTCATTAAAAAACACTCGACGATTTCAAACAAATAGCTCAAAAACTCCTACATGATGATTTCAAAAATAAAATGGATCATACTTTTCGCACGACACAAAATTCTTTTCATAAACATATTTTTTATCATCACTTTATCAATATTATCGAAGTAGCTGTTCAGTTTGAAGGAGAAATGAATAAGAAGTTTTGATTTGAGTGTATTATTAGGGCGTTAATGAGTGAGTTAGATATAATTTTTTTTTAAAATTCGAGTAATTTTCTTTTAATTAAAATTAAGTGAATTATTGAATAAATCATAAAATGATCGAATGACAAAGATTCAATCCCAATAATTATATATATATAGCTATATCATTTTCGATAGTTCGTATATATATATATATATATATATATATATATATATATATATATTAAAAGACCAGCATGGAGTGTAAAAAAAAAAGTACATAGAAGACAAAGTGAACCGATTGCGACACCATTTTTCAGAGGACAAAAAACCCCTCTATCCAAAGTCCAAATCTTTCTGCCGCCGCCGCCGGCCGTGAAATTGATATGCAATAGATACTGATATGAGTAGAGAAGAGATAGTTACTACGATGACTGTTAGAGCAAAACCAGTAGGAGGATTAGCTATAGCTACTATTGTGAAGAATAATGGCCACCATCGGGATGTTGAGGAAGAAGGAGAGTCAAGGCTTGAACCAAATGTGGGGTTAGAGTTCGATTCAGCCGAAGATGCACAAGAGTTTTACAATCTCTATGCAACGAAAATTGGATTTAGGATTCGAATTGGTCAGCTCTATCGTTCTCGAATTGATGGGTCTGTTGTTTCCCGGAGATTCGTTTGTTCCAAAGAGGGGTTTCAGACTACTTCACGAACGGGATGTCCAGCTTTCATAAGAGTGCAAAGGCTTGATTCTGGCAAATGGGTTCTCGCTAATATAAAGAAGGAACACAATCATGACCTTGAACATCCAGGTGAGATTTGCCCATCTCGAATTCAAAGAAAAATTGTTACCCCAACCCCAACCCCGAAATCAAAATCAGCTTCTATTGTTGTATCAACTAGGACTGGACTTAGATCACTTGATGAGGATGGCCCATCTGGGATTCTCGATTTTAAGCGTCTTAAACGGGAGAAAATCAATGGAGAAACTAGAAGTGAACCGTATAAGGGGTTAGAATTTGTTTCTGCTGCTGAAGCATATGAGTTTTATCATACTCATGCTGCTAATACTGGGTTTAAAGTTAGGATTGGTCAGCTGTTTCGTTCGAAGAATGATGGGTCGATTACATCGCGGAGATTTGTTTGCTCTAAAGAAGGGCATCAGCATCCGTCGAGAGTGGGGTGTGGAGCTTTCATGAGGATACAGAGACAAGAATCAGGAAGGTGGTTGGTTGATCGTTTTCAAAACGAACATAACCATGAACTTGGAGCTCCCATTGATGCTAGTGAGAGAGTGTCATCAAAAGGATTCAAAGAAGAATTAAGCCATGGGTTGGAGAATATGGATTTAGTTGAATCAAATGGAGGGTTTAGCCTTGTTACAAGATCCAGGGAGAGTAAAATTGGAAGTGATTGGTATAATGAGCTTTTTGACTATTTTCAGGCTCGACAAGCAGACGATATGGGATTTTTCTATGCAGTGGAAATGCATAAGGGTAGAGCCATGAGTGTATTATGGGCCGACTCTCGGTCTAGATTCTCCTGCACTCAGTTTGGGGATGCAATTGTTTTCGACACAACCTATAGAAGGGGTAGTTACTCAGTGCCACTTGCTTCATTCATTGGGGTTAATCACCACAGGCAACCAGTACTTCTTGGCTGTGCCTTAATTGCTGAAGAGTCTGAAGAGTCATTTACTTGGTTGTTCCAAGCTTGGCTTCGGGCAATGTCAGGGCGTCGTCCTATCTCTATAGTTGCTGATCAAGACTGGGTCATTCAACATTCAATTGCTCAAGTTTTCCCCGGGACACATCATCGGTTTTCTGCATGGCAAGTTGTGGCTAAGGAGCAGGAAAACATTGGTGCATTACTCTCGATGAATCCTGAATTTAAGTATGAATATGAAACTTCCATTTTCCAGAGCCAGACGGCTAATGAGTTTGAAGCAGCATGGAATGTGCTTATTAACAAGTATAATTTGAGAGAGAACACATGGTTGAAGGATATGTATAGGATGCGGAAGAGCTGGGTACCGTTATACATTAAAGGCACATTCTTTGCTGGCATTCCAACGGACGGGAGCTTGAAATCATATTTTGGCACATTATTGACATCTCAAGCACCACTTAGTGAATTTCTTATACGGTACGAAAAATCCCTTGAGCAACGTCGTGAAGAGGAAAGAAAAGAGGATTTTAACTCATTCAATTTGCAAGCAGTTCTGCACACAAAGGACCCTATAGAGGACCAGTGTAGAAGGCTTTACACTATTACCATGTTCAAAGTGTTCCAGAAAGAGCTTTTGGAGTGCTATAGTTATGTTGGAATTAAGATAAATGTTGAAGGTGCCATTAGTAGGTATCTGGTGCAGAAGTGTGGAAATGGAGATGAGAGGCATACAGTTGCCTTCAATGCCTCCAATCTTAACATCAGTTGCAGTTGTAAAATGTTTGAGTTTGAAGGTGTGCTGTGTAGACATGCCTTGAAAGTTTTTCAGATAATGAACATAAGGGAGCTTCCATCTCGCTATATCCTACATCGTTGGACAAAGGATGCAAAATATGGTATACTACGTGATGTCGATTCAGGGGGTGCTTCTCAAGATCATAAGGCATTGATGTTGTGGAGCTTAAGAGAAGAAGCAAAGAATTACATTGAGGCAGGAACAGCATCTTTAGAAAGATATAAACTTGCGTTTGAGATCATGCAGGAGGGTAGAAGAAATCTTTGTTGGCAAAACTAGGGAAGTACGGGGTTAAACAAACATAGATAAGAGGTATTTTCCTCCTACTTTTATTTCATTGCTATGAGTTGAACTGTATCTCCAGCGATGAATTTCAAGATTTGTACATGTTTGGATCTTTTCAGAAAAAAGAAAAGGAAAAAATGCTTATTTATTTTCATTGCCTTCTCCTCACAAAATTACGTAAGTGTTATATTGCATTGTGATTGATATTCATCTGAATCACTGATCAAATCATAGATGCATTTTATATCCGTCGTGATTGATCATTGTATTAGTCAATTACTCGTATCTTTTATCAATTCATATTTTTGTTTTGTTTAGTTGCTTTTTTTAGCTTTTGTTTTTTTGTCCTTGGCAGATCGATGCTTTCATCAAAATTCTTATTTGTAAGTTAATTTTTGGACTCGACCATATCTGATTATGAGTTAGCCTCAATCTTATCATATAGTTTTCCAAATAATTTAGGGATAAGGCACAAGTACCACTCCGAACTATACCCGTAATTCCAGCCACACACCTAAACTTAACTAGGGTCCTATCACCCCCAACTAATTTAAAATGGAATAAACACCATAAACGCTAACGTGGTGCACACTCTCTTGAAGACAATTGAAGATTACAAAAATAATTTTAAAAATAATTAACAGGTAGAAATGTCATTTTTTAAATTGGAGATCACTTAATTAATTAAGTCTTGTTAAATAGACTCCTCCATCTTCTAAATAGAAGGGATGTATTAGAATTGATGTTTACTGCTTGCTAACCAATGGTGTCTTCTCTGGCGTAGCATTCATAAGCTATAAACCTTCCACCCTTATCCAAAATAATTCTTCACCCGAATTTTTTTCGAAGACCCGATGCTACCCCTCTTTTATCTTTTCCTTCCTCCAAAGAAAAATCCCATTTTCATGTTTGTCTCAGACATGGCATGTCTTCTTCCAGTCATTTTCTGCCTTCTGCTATGGTAACTTCTAATTTTTTTTGATGCTTACTGAAGAAGCGTTTAAGAGAATTGGGTTTTGGGAAGGATTCTTTGAATGTTAGCGAGAATTAATATGAGTCTGAGGTTGAGGATAATGAGTCATAGCTGAGAATGAGGATGACCTTTCCGTTTCTCAGTTGTCTTCTCCGGTTGTATTCTCCGACGTTTTCTCTGATTGTCATGCGTCAATCGGAGTACAAATCCTAGCATGTCAACACATATTCTCACCATTTTTACTTCCCTTAGAAAAACCAGATCTCACCACAAGAACGATTCAAGTTGAGGTGGAAAAGAACCACAAAAACGATTCTAAGTGTCTGGTTGTGGAACTACTGAACCAGTAATGTCAGCAATAAATGAAAAAAGGATTTTAATGGTAAAAAAAATGATTTAATGCTTAAAAAGAATGTGACTTTCATGTCGGAGGTCTCAAGTTCGAAACCCCTTGGCAGTGAAAGCAAGGGATTTGCCTTTTGGGTCGAGCTCGTCGCATCAGGCTTGCCTAGTGAGGATTACCTCTCTTGTATGAATTGCAAGCTATTGCATAGGAGCGAGGGCTTTACCCTGAACTCACCCCGCGGGTTTCCCTTGTCATTAAAAAAAAGAAGAAAGAATGTGACGCTTGTATTACACGCAGAGGATACTCATTTGGTTATTTATCCCACATCAGCATCTAGGTTGACATTTATTCATTACAACATAGTTTAGAGGGTAATAGGATCCTAATTAAGTTTAGGTATGTCGCTCAAATTTGAGTGGGTACTTGTGTCTTATTTATCCCAATAATGTATGTACCAAAGCTGATGCAAGTGCTTTTATTAAGCGTATCAAACAACTACCATTTATACACAACTGCCTAATATTTTTCATTGCCAGGTGACATATTTTTGCAGTTTTTTTCCCAATTAATGTCAATTGTTGTGTACAGATGCAGTGAGCATCCAAGAAAAGATCCGAATTTGATATGAAGCATTTAATCCATCATTCAACTTTCTTACTGAAGGGAGTGAATTTCTATTTGAATCACTAACTCATTAGGTTACTTCTTTGCAGAGATACTGATCATAATCATGAAGTAAGAAGGGAGGTATTTGTTATACAATCATACTGCATATATAGTGGCTGAGTCAAAAGAATTATTGCGAAGTCCGTTGCTTAGCTTTAACTTGGTCAATGACAAACCTTAAAATGTTAACCTCTCCTGGAGTGGGTTGCTGCAGTTTGAATACTACATTTTAATTTTTTAACTCTTATTGACTAGCGGAGATCGTGGAGCACTTACTTTCTATGTTACTATTTCCCAATTAAACTGCTCAATTCTCTTATATGAAAAAAATTGGATGCTGAAGGGGGCTATATTTAAATCATGTACTCTAGATTATTGTAATCCTTTAGTTTATATCCGAACAAGGAAGTTCTTCTCTACCATGTCGTCTTGAAAACTTAGTGATATTCTTGCAGAACATTGAAACCAGTGTCGAAGTTTGATGATCAACCCCGTGTGATGTTGTGGCAGTCTGTTATACCAACAATTTTGGTAATTCCAGAGCTTACAGGACTTGCTGCATATTTTGGATCAAGTCAGAGTATTTAGACAGTGATAATCGAGGACTGAATGGTGTTACCAAATAGTGATCCTCCTCCTGAAGCAAACAAATCATCATATGACTAGTTTTCTTTCGGAATCACAATCACAAACTGCAACTTGTGTAAATCAAAAATGTCGTTACAAATGATACTCTCCAGGGCTTCTTAGTAAAACTGGATTATTGTGGTACTGAAAGAAGCTCGAGCAAAACGGACAGTTGAAAGTTCATCATCAACCTCTGGAAAATGGATCCTGCAGTGATCATGTGTTGCATTTGGAAAGAAAGAGACCAATGCTATTCCAACTCCAGTCCATTTGTTGAAGGATTTGTTTTGCTTGGAGCATACTATCTGCTGTAAATAGTATCGATTCTCGCTTGGATTTTGTAAGCTCCTTAAATTATTGTATAGTAGTCATTTGAAATTGTACAGGAGTTATTGTTTTTGTAATCTATTTGCATCCAGTGAAATCTACATTTACTTGATCAAAAAAACTGGACAATTGTGACCACAGAGTTCTCTATTGTTGTAGCTCATCTGGTCCTATATTTTGATGATATAGTCATTAGACTGAGAAAATCACATAGTTGAAGAAGTATTTTGGACAGTCATATTTGAACGTCTTCTGGAAATAGGCTTTCTACCTCCACGAGCGTGAGGTAGTATCAACTTGTAGGATTTCACTGGGTGTGTTGTTGTATTCATATTTGAACTAATAAAAGTTGGGGACATTCCGAGAATTGGACTCGGGACCAGGTTTGTGTATATTTTATCAACTTGTCGGGTTTCACTGGATGTGTTATTGTTGTATTCATATTTGAACTAAAAAAAGATTAGGGGCATTCAGAGAATTGAACTCGAGATCTGGTTTGTGTACATTCTATTAATTCGTGGGAATTCATGAGGTGTGTTGTTGTTGTGTTCATAGAACTAAAAAAAAAATTAGGGGCACTTCGAGAATTGAACTCGAGACCAGGTTTGTGTACATTTTATCAACTCGTGGGATTTCATGACATGTGTTGTTATTGTATTCATGTTTGAACTAAAAAAAGTTTAGGGGCATTCCGAGAATTGAACTCGGGACCTCTCGCACCCTAAGCGAGAATCATACCACTAGACCAAATGCCCATTTTTGGAAATTGTGGCCTGTGAAAATTATTGAAACTAAATGAGCTTATATCATAAGAACTAAAATAATTATTAAGAGACCAAAAGTGTTATTAACACTTAAAAAAACATAAGAAGAAAAAATAATAATCAGATTTTGAGCATTCTATATTCTGAGTTTATCATATACTTTTTCTGTCTCAATTTACGTGTTATTCTTTCTTGTATTGTCTGTCCTAGAAAGAATGTTAGTACATTTTTACAATCAGAGATAATCCATCTTAAGAATTTTTTTTTTCTTTTTTCCTCTGTATGAAATAAGTATAGCCATAAAAATATCTAAGGTTAGTTTAAGATCACTAGTTTAAAAAATATTCCCTTTTTGCTTTCTTAAATTTTTGTGTCAAGTTAAATTGTGTCACATAAATTACGATCAGAAATTACTCTTCTTTCCAATTTTCTTTTCTATTTTATATTCCTTTCCAGTTGGCAGCCTCTCTTATGTGGTTTATAATTACTTATTTTTTTATGGTAAGTTCTTTATTCAAATTGTCTGTATTTGCTCCAAATTTGTCTTTTTTATAATTTCTATGGTTGTCTACGTTAAATTGCTTAAGAAGGGACCATTTGAACCAGTTGTGGAATGTTTGTTTGTTTAACTTTGTTTTCTGGTAGTCAATTGTTATTTTGGCATGTTTTTTTCTCCATGCAACTAATGTGTTTGTAAATGTTGATGAACCATAGAAAATGAAGCAATTTTTTCTAATATAAAATTTTTATAATGCATATCAACAAAAAAAATTCCATGTAATATCAAGATTTCTGCCTTTACACCAACCATGAGTGTGGTGACATGATTAAAACTCTCACTGTTATTTAAAGATTTCGAGTTCAAATTTTAAATTATAGGTAACTCTTGAGTTTTAAGTGTAGCTTTTAACCATTAGATGCTACAAGGGCACTAGTAGTTTTTTAAGTGTGAAATTTTAATTTATAAATAAGTAATTACATGTTTGAATAAAAATATTGAAATATTAATTATATTCTACCATGTTATAGGTGGAACGTCAAATTCTGAAGCTCGTGAATTAGCTCACGGAGCCAATTAATACGCTGAGTACTGACTTAACTCAATCTCAAAAATTAGCTCATAAGTTCATGTAAGGAGATTAAATTCTCATCTCTTTATTAATTGGGATTTCTTTAACACTCGCCAGCATGTCCACACCTTAACTGGAGCGTGAACATTTATAAGGCCCAACATCAGTGAATAATATATTGCGATGAACCTGACTTTAATATAAATTTATGTTTAACTCAACTCTAAAAACTAGTTTATAAGAAAAAAATCGTCCAAATTCATTTAACAAGATCACTAATCCTGCTCTGACAAGTACATGAGCAGGTCTTCGACCAATATATGCCACTGTCAAATAAACCCCACACAGTTTTGGATCATATTGACACTTGTCTTTTCCTTTCAATATAACCACATCATTTTTATTCGTAACATCGTTTGATTTGATATAAAAATTTAAAATCTTCCAAGTTTATTCCGGTAAAAGATACCTTCACTTCCCCCCTTCAAATTCACATTAATTCCTCTAACTTCATTCATTCTTGCCATGGCAGAAAAATATAGTATAGTTTTGCTAGGTATAATGGATCAATTATGGTTCCATCAAATTATTCTCTTTTCAAAAACCCCATCAATTTCAATTCCTGAAAATCCCCTGCCTATTCAAGACTCTCTAGCATCCGTTGAAACAGAAAACACCCTTGTACAGGTAACAAAATTAACGCGCTTGCACTTAATAGTCAATCAATTAAATTTTTCCGATTCTTATCCTACATTTCAACTATTTACTTATATAGCCTAACTAATAGAAAGTGCCTAATTATTTATTTATCTAATTCTTTTTTTTCATATCAGACTTGGTATAATATCTCAATTTTATGCTTTGTTACTGTCCGTGCATAAAACTTAAATTGTCGTTTGAATGAAGATTGTATTGTTTGTCATTGAAGGAAGTTTGTGAACAAGAAAGACCAACAGAAAACATGTCTGATTCATCATCACCTAAAAGACATTATTCAGGAAACAGAGTATTGAAGAAAACAATGAGTAATTACAAGAGTTTTGGAGATCTCGAGCTCGAAGAATTACGAGGTTTCATGGATTTAGGATTCACATTCCGCAAAGAACATATAAGCAAGAGAATGATAAATGTAATTCCTGGATTGCAGAGACGTGAAATAGTGATATGCGAATGTGAAGATACAAAAGCAATTGTAGCAGAGGAAGAGGATAAAAGGGAGATTGTGCGACCTTATTTATCGGAGGCATGGCTTATTAAAAGGCCTAATTCACCATTGTTGAATATGAGAATACCAAGAATTTCAGCACCTTCTGATATGAAGAAACATTTGAGATATTGGGCTAAAACAGTGGCAACTGTGGTTAGGCAAGAATCTTGATTTTTTCCACAGAGTATCTCGCGTTATCAACTCGTAATTATTTTCGACAACTTAAATTGTTTTCACCAATCAAATATTTATTGGAATTTCTCTTGTTTTTAATTAGAGATTTTGAATTCGAACATTTCAGAGTTTTAATTGGATTATTCGGTGCGATTTCAATTGAAAATAAACAAATAGAAAAAGGTATTGACACTTAACCATTTTAGCGAAAGATTGTATTGTAAATAGTGTAACTATCACATATAGCAAACATTAAAAATTATATGTATGATATAGTTATAGTTTATATAATTGCACTCCATAACACATAAATATATATATTTCGTTATTCATATATATATATATACATGTAAAAAAGAAATTGTATAATTTGTTTTGATATACATATAAAAAAGGATTAGTTGTATAATTTGTTGTTGACATTACATAATTAATTATCGTGGATATGTAAAAAAATTTTCAGCGGAACATGCTTTGTTGATTATTTAGTTGATTTACTCCACTAATTAGCAGTCATAATGCTGCTAACTTGAGGATTAAACCATCTAAAAGAAAGAAGTAATAGTGGGGGAAGTGCATGCTTGGGACTAAAAGTCATATAAACCATAGCTTATCATTATGGTTCACATAATTTGTTAATGTTTGTTAGAAAAATATTATCTAAAAAAGAATAAAGGATGATTAGAAATTTCTCTTAGATTGACTTTACTCAAAAGAATTAATGAACCAACATGGGTTGTGGTGCATTAGTATGAGTGTTTCACCCTTAATCAGAGGTTTCGGGCTTGAGCCCTGGGTATCGAGAAAATCTTGTTGGGAGCGTCACCTCCAAATGAACTCTGCAGTGCGCGATTCAAATTTAGTCGGAGCTCCAATGTGAACTCCAAACACCGAGCGGAAAACAAAAAAGAAAGAATAATGACATTTTTATTATCCTTAAAAGACAACATTAACTGCCATTACTTTTTTTTTTTAATCAAACATAACTGATGCCAATATTCAAAAAATTAATTTGGTGGAATCAATTGTCTTTATGGTAATTTATTTACTATTCTCAACTCTTGTTTTAAAATGTTGGTTGAAAATTTCCGTGGAATGTTACTAAGGAGGAGGAAGTGAAAAATATAGATTGGATTAGAATGGAGTGAAATTTTTTCCTCTTTTCTTTTTCTTTATAATTTTCTATTAATTTAAAATCTTTGTTAGATTTTGAATCTCAATTTTATACTAAATAAGCTTGTTAAATATTGGGAAATATACCTAAATCAGGTGAAATATCCTTAGAGATAGGGTCATAGGCATGCATAAACCACGGTGGATTTATTTATACATGATTAAAATATTCTTGTGTGTGTATATATATATATATAGTAAATGTCAAACCACTGTTAGTTAGTTTGCTTGTCTACTTCTATAAATTTTGAATTTTCTTAATGAAAATATCGACTTTTCAACTAATTCATTTGTCTACTTCTATAAATTTTGAATTTCCTTCGTAAAAATTTCAATTCTATGATTTTCAATATTTAACAACAATGTCCACCCCCTCCCCCACCCACACCCACACACACTATGAAATTTCCCACTAAATTGTGGTTATTGCTTGTATCACCAACAAAAGGGGTGGCAAAGCCATACAAAAAATGTCAAACATATTATTCCACATAATCAATGTTCTTCCTGTCTCTTATAGATAGAAAAATAATACTCATGTTGGGTTACGGTATACTTTTTAAGAAAAATATTTTAAGATATAAATATTATTCTATTTTGATTATTTTTAAAATGATAAAAAAAAATTAACTTTGAACAATCTATTTATTTCGAACTAGGATAAAAGTTTACAATTGATTTAATATGAATTAGATGTGTAATATTTACGTTGTCAAGATACATAACATAGAATAGTTGCTTTTAGTGGGAGAAATCCATGCGTGGGTGAATATGTGTAGCAAAAATTAATGGTCAAATATAGTGGCCTAGTGGAACTATGCTTGCATTTTTATCCTTCTTCCACTAACATTATTACACTAACATAAAACTTTAATTTTACTATATAAGGGATTTGGCATTTTGAGCATTTGATATTAAGAAGAAAATTACAAAGACAAAGAGATATGGCCACAAAAACCCAACATTTTGGTCCCTCATCAACATTCATCACTCTATTTTTAGTATTGCTCCTCCACATTCATTATGGTACTTCTCCCTTAATATTTATCTATTTGTTCTTTAATTTGGAAACATATTAAATTATATACATCGATAATATAACAGAGTTATAATTTATATTTTCAGTGTGTGTGTATATATATATATATATATATATATATATATATGCTCTCTGTTTTAATTTATGTAAAGGTGTTACTGTTTCAGAATCGGAGTCAAATAATTTTTTTTTACTATAATTTTTCAAGGTGTGTAGAAAATATTTTAGTCTATTATTTACGTTGACTTATATTATGTAAGTTTAATTTTTCAAACTTGAGTGTTTTGACTTGCGTAATTCGAACCCCTTTACATAAATTAGGACAGAGAAAATAACTCATTAAAATAGGTTACTTACCATTTATTCCAGATTATCAATTAATGCTATTAAATAGATTTACTTACATGTGAATTTAAAGTGGCATGATATTATGTAAATAATCTGAGATTTTTCTAAAGCTTCATTTTCATAATTTATATTTCAATATTTTTCTGTTTTTGTGTGAGTGCTTAGTTTTTTTTTTTTCTAGTGGTGATTATTATGAACAATATATATGTGCTAATTATTGATTTAATGACAGCAAAAAGTGATCTAAGGTTAAATTACTACTCAGAGAGTTGTCCAAGAGCTGAAGAAATCATTAAAGAACAAGTAAACAAGTTGTACCACAAGCATGGGAATACTGCAGTTTCTTGGATAAGAAATCTATTTCATGATTGCATGGTTAAGGTAATATATATTTCATACGATTATGTTTGACTGAACGTGAAATTTAAAAGATAATTTTTGTAAAAAGGAAACTTTGAGCACGTATAACGAAAGTACCTTAAAAGAACTTGTGATCTTTATACATATCATGTCATATCAATTTTATGGCTAAGCTCATGTCATGAAGGGGTTCATTTGATCTGGAATAAGGTTATTTTACGATTATAATTTCACATCGAATATGAAATAAAATTATTTCAATATTATAATACCAATAGGTTCAAATTTTATATCTAGATACATATCCTGATCCCAATGACAAAATGACCTCAGTTTATCAAATATAGAAATGTGACTTTTTTTCTGATTATGTTAATTGGTGAATATTGTTGTTGAAGTCATGTGATGCATCAATATTGTTGGACAAAACAAAGGAACAAACATCAGAGAAGACATCTCAAAGAAACTTTGGGATGAGAAATTTCAAGTATATTGAGACTATCAAAGAGGCTCTTGAGAATGAATGTCCAAATATTGTCTCTTGTGCGGATATTGTCGCTCTTGCGGCTAGGGATGGTATCGTTATGGTAAGTTAAATGTATTTAGCCTCCCTCTTCAACTTCATTTTTTTCCTCTTATATTAGTAAGTATATATACATGGTATACATATTAGGAGTGACCAGGTGGTTTAAATTGAATTTGAACCGATCAAAATAAATTAAATCAATAAATGAGTCATTTAGAAAATTACATCGAACGACCTTGAAAATTGGTGATTTTAAAATTTTGACTCCCACTTGCCACATGAGCAATTAATATTCTTTTTACCAAATTTAATTCGTTCACTAACCAAAACCAAAAATTAATACATTACATCTCAAACCCTCAAAAAAGTTTTCTCTGAATTAGATTTATTGACCTTAACTTTTAAATTAGTTAAATTTTGACCGATCAAAATAGGTTATTAGCGAATCATATTTTCACGAGTTAATTTTACGTGTTTAATTTGACATAGTTAGGAGGGCCACAAATTGAAATGAAGACAGGCAGATGGGACAGCAAAGATAGTTACTTAGCAGAAGTTGAGAGTTTCATTCCAAATCACAATGATTCAATGTCTTTAGTTCTTTCTCGATTTAATTCCGTTGGTGTTGATACTCAAGGAACTGTTGCTCTACTAGGTAAACCACCCTCCCTTTTACGATTTTTTCCTTCTCAAACTTATGTGACATTTTTTCCTTTTCGAGAGTCAATCTGACTATGAAGCAATTGAATTATATCTATCATCATAATATTCTAAAACTAAAATTCAAATATTCAAAAACTATACAAATTAAAGCACTTCCTCACATCAATACATTACAATTTTACATAATCTAAATTTTGAAAAACGAAAATTGTGACATAAAGTGAGATAACAGTAATGGTGATCGATTGATGATGCAGGGGCCCACACGGTCGGACGAGTTCATTGTGTAAACATAGTCCATAGACTCTACCCAACGGTTGACCCGACTCTTGATCCGGACTTTGCAAAGTACTTGAAAACCCGATGTCCATCAGCAGAACCCGACCCGAAAGCAGTTGAATATGCTAGAAATGACCATGTAAATCCAATGGTGTGGGACAATTTGTACTACAAAAACATTATGAGCAACAAAGGATTATTAATTGTGGACCAACAATTAGTGTCTGATCCAACAACTTATCCATTTGTTGAGAAATTTGCTGCTAATAATTCTTATTTTAATGATCAATTTGCCAAATCTTTCATTATTTTGTCGGAAAATAATCCACTTAGTGGTGATCAAGGGGAGATTAGAAAGGTATGTCGCCATGTTAACAAGTGATTAATTAATTAGTGTTTTTTAGTTAATTAAAAGTACTTTTTATTTGTCTTGTTGGTATGTCACTACCAAATCAAAAATGTGCCTACGTTGTAATGTATGTGCACATAATTGCATTTTCTTCGTTTTTCGTGATGTATAATATATCAATATATAAAAAATTTCAAATTATGCTTACGATTATACTGAATTAATAGAACGAATTAATAAATAGATGAATATTAGTGAATTCACGTAAAAGTTATCTAGTCAGAAACAAGTTGAATCAAGATGACAAAATACACACTTTATCATAGTCGAATATATCCAATTCTTACGTAATGTTGATGTGATGTCTTTGTTTTGTTTGTTTTCTTATAATTTGTTTACTCAACCCATTTATTTTTCTTTGTTATAATAATGTACAATAAAATATCACATTAAAAAGAATTTCTAATAATGTTTATGAATCTACTTGATTATATATTTAACCAAAATTTAGGTTGAATTGGACAACTAAAAACGAGTTCTATATTTATCAAATGAGTAGATCATTAACCCATCAAAACTTAAGCAAATTTCATAGATTATATTTTTATGGACTAATTATTTTACGAATCTTAATTATTCTACCAATGAGGAGCAACTTGAAATATTCTCTCCTCACCATTATTATTTTTCCAACCACTAACTTATAACACCATGTGAATAAAATAAGTGAAATATGTTTATGGACAAAGTTTCTTTACTTTTAGACATTTTATTGGAAAAGAATCAACTTTTATTTTTTCTCTCATTGTGAAAGTAATGTTAAAAATATTGTCTTTCCTTCCCTTTTCCAGTTAGTTTCATATTTTGTTGGTATATATATATATATATATATATATATATATATATA